AAAAAAAATAAATCACCATGACCAAGTGGTATTCATAATAGGTATGCAAAGAAAAACAATCAATGTAATTCATCATATTAACAAAGCCAAGAATAAGAACCACATGATTACTCTTTTTCATGGTGCTGCTGAGTCCATTGGCTCCTGCGCCATGAAGTTGAACATCTGTTTCCCAGCCACTTGCTGGAAAAACCTTATTGAAGTGGAGGATGGAGGCAAACTTTGTACATTTTATGAGAAACATATGGCCACAGAAGTTGCTGCTGACTCTTTTGGAGACAAGTGAAAGGGATATGTTGTTCAGATCAGCGGTGGAAATGGCAAACAAGATTTTCCCAGGAAGCAGGGTGCCTGGACCCATGGCGGAGTTCGCCTTCTGTTGAGTAAGGGGCACTCTTGTTACAGACCATGGAGAACTAGAGAGAGGAAGTACATATCTCTCCGGGGTTGCATTGTGGATGCCAATCTGAGTGTTCTCAACTTGGAAATAAACATGGGTGTGAGCTATTATTCTTTTACATCTCTACTTTCTATCTCTGTTTATTGTGAATCAGGAGGTAAGCCAGTATCACTATGGAAATATAGATGATTTTATGCTCACTATATTCTTTGTATATTCTTTGCTGTTTAACTTTTCCATCTTCAAATCCAAGAAATTAAAACAAATTTTTGTCTTTTTTTTTTGCATACTGCACACAAGTGTGTGTAAGTGGTCGTTTTCTTTATTGATTTCTTTCAACCAAAGGAAAATCCAGGTTGATAATGTTCCTTAGTATTTCCTGCATCAGTATACTCTTTGATAGAAATATCTAACCTAGAACCTGTTGGATGATAAACATAAATGAAAGTCAGTTTACTGGGACAGAGCTTGAAATGCTTGAGTAAACAAAGTTTGTGACAATTAAAAATGTACCACTGGCCAGGTAAGTCATCCCTTGCTCTAGTTTATTGTCTTGTACTGTTGTTATAAAGAAACTGATTAAATGTTCTTCATTTTAATCATTTCTCATTTGAACTACTTCTTTATTTTCTTGTTTGTAGATCTTCAGTCTTTTTTGTAGATTATTTAACAGCAATAGTGTGCTTAGGCTTAACTGAAGCAGGTTTATTTTCTTGATGGAAATTGAATTTCTAGTGGCAAGAGGCCTTGACCATAGCAGCTGTATATTTACCATTGGTCTCTCCTGTCCAGTGAAAAGTGAATTGCAGGTAGCTCCCTAAGAAAAGATTTCAAATATAAGAAACGTTTTCACATCAAGAGTAGTTTGATTTTTTTTTTTTATATTGTTCTTTTCCTGCTTTTAGGACAGTCTTCCATTTCCTGAACGACTACCTCATATTCTCCATCTCACACTGTAAACAATGCATTCATCAAATATTCGTCAACAAATGCCTTTTCCCATCTCTGATTTACTTTCCTTCTAACCCTAAATTCATAATGATTTTCATGCGATCTTTCCCATACATTTTATTTTATAACATTGTCATTACAATTTCATCCACTCATTTACATAATTGCCATAAAAAGCAAACTCACTGCCATCTAGTTTGAATCAGCTGATAGCTTATTCTCCAGCAGGGTTTCACAGGTTGTAACTCAAACGGGAAGAGATTGCTCATCTCTCGCTTGAAGAACTGTTGGTGGATTAAAACTGCTAAAAAGGCACCACTTTTGGATTAGCAGAACAGCTCCCTGTGGACTGTATCATTAGTTGTTAGGTGCTGTCAGTCATAGCCACCCTCCAGACGCTGTCCTAACCTGTGCCACCCTTATTACCTCTGAGACTTTTGAGCACATTGCAGCAGATACTGTATCAATCCATATAGTTTGGGGGTTCCTCTCTTTCACTGACTCTCCACCTTCCAAACATGATATCCTTTCCTAGGAATAGTCCCTCTTATGAACATGTCTAAAGTATGTGAGATGAAGCTTCACCATCTTTTCTTCCAAGGACCACTATGGTTGTACTTTCTCCAAAATGTATCTGTTCTTTTGGCAGTCTATGGGATATTCAGCACTCTTCTCCAACACCACTGCTCAAAGACATTGATTCTTTCCCTCTCATCATTTTTAATTGTCCAGTTCGCAGATGCATAGCAGGTGATGGGAAAGACTTGACTTGAATCAGGTGCACCTTACTTGAAACTGGTATAATTGCTCTTCACGACTTTGGCAAGGTCCCTGACAGCAGAATTTCCCAATGCTGTATGTCTCCAGATCTCCTGGCTGCTGGTACCAAGGGTGTTGACTGTGGATCCGAGCAAGATGAAATCATTGGCAGTTTCACTCTCTTCTCCATCTATCATGATGTTGCCTACTGGCCCAGCAGTGAAAACTTTTGTTTTCTTGACTTTGAGATGTATTCCATATTGAATCCTGCTGTCCTTGACCCTCTGCAGCAAGTGCCTCAAGTTTTCTTTCAGGAAGCAAAGTTTTCTCATCTGCATAACACAGGTTGTTGATAATTCTTCCTCCATTCCTGATGCCACATTCTTCTTCATAATGTACACCTTCTTGAATGATTTGCTCAGCATACAGATTGTATAGGTATAGAGAAAGGATACAGCTCTGACACACACCTTTCCTGATTTTAAACAGTGCAAGTGTTCCTTTGCTTTGCTCAGCCAGTAACTTCTTGGTATACATATGTGTTGTTGTTGTATACCTTCAAGCCAGAAATGACTCATAGCTGACCTTCCAGCAGGTTTTCAGAGGCAGTAAATTTCACTGCAGGAGATTTCCCAGCATTCTTCATGGAGCAACTGGTGGATTCAAACCATGTACCTTTGCATTGGCAGTGCAATTCCTTATTCCTGGTGTTGGCTTAGTTCTTTGTCTAGTGAGGAATAGTTTTGTGTCCAGTAGGGTGACTATAAAAAAAAGGAGTTTACGGTAGATCCTATTTGGTATCTACAGAGAAGTTCAAACTGTGGGCTAGACAAATGGCTTTAAATCTTGCTTGCATGTTGGAGTCACTGCCAAAAGAACCAACAAGTTTGCCTGGAAGAAGCACAACCTTGTCTCAGAGGCAAAGATGGTGAGACTTGACTGACAAATTATGAAGCAGCTCTGTGGGGTCACCAGGGTAAAGGAGCTTGGCATGACCAGCACTGTTCTGCAGGTGGGTGTCCTTTCTGATGAGGGTGATGGTGCTTCTTCTGGGAATTAGACCATCTCGCACTCTGCTGTTGGATGCTGCCCCTGCACCATTTGTGTTAGCACCCTCATCTAATCTACCTAAACCAAAACCCTCTGCTCTTCAGGTGATTCAGACCTTTAGTGACCCTACGAGGCTGAAAAATCAGAGAAAGCCAAGAGGGTTTCCAGGGTTGGAAATCTTTGTGAAAGACTGCCATATCTTTCTCCTACCTGAGGGTCCAGTGAGTGGGTCTCCCATTCCCCCCTTTCAGCCAGAAGCAAAGGGCTTTCCCCAACTGTGCCATGATGGCTCCTCTTAACTTGCCTGGAGAAGCGCAAATATGAACCTGGCTGACAAGAGCTTTTGGTACTTCTCTTTGGAAGACTGAAGAATTGATGCTTTTGAGTTGTGCTGTAGAGGAAATTGAATATATCATTGACTGCCCAAAACCCAACAAGTCTGCCTTGAAGCAGTACAGCCTTGCCTTGGAATCAAGTGGTGAGACTCTGTCATCTACTTTGGGCATGTAATGGGGTGGAACCAATCCCTGGAGAAGGACTTCCTGCTTGGAATAGTAGTTGTTGTTATGTGCTGTTGATTCAATTCCAACTCATAGCGACTCTATGAACAACAGCTCTGAACTTTGCCCTGTTCTGTGCCATCCTCATCATCTCTAATATACTTGACCCCATTACTATAGTGACTGTGTCAATCTATCATGTTGAAGGTACTCCCTCTCTTATGATTATTCTCCACCTTTCTGAGCATGATGTCCTTCTCCAAGGCTTGACCACTTGATAACATGCCCAAAGTATGTGAGATGGAGTTTCACCTTCCCTACCTCCAAGCAGCACTCTGATTTCACTTTCTCCATGACAGCCCTGTTTGTTCTCTTGGTAGTTCATGGGATTTTCAATATGCTTCTCCAGCATGACTCAAAGGCATCACTTCTTCTTCTGTCATCCTTAGTCATTGTCCACCTTTCAGATGCATAGCTAGCAATTGAAAAGACCATGACTTGGGTCAGGCACACCTTACTCTTTTAACTGATGCTGTTGCTCTTTAGCACTCTGGAGAGGTCCTTGACTTGCATAGCTGTTTTTCACAGTAGCTCTACTCTGTAGACTCCAGACTGGCTTGAAGTTCTGGTTCACTAAGTGGGACTTGGTGAAGGGAAGTTTTCCTAGGCCTGGTGCTGTGGGTAGTGTCTTTCTGAGCCTTCATCTGTGTGGGGTTGGCATTGATCTTTTCTTATGTATTTTTTTTTAAAGCCAGAGCCCTGGCGCCCTGATGTCCTCAGTGGATCTCAGGGTTTCTTGACCATGCTCTCTACCTAGGGAGGTCCTTGGTGTAGTGACTGCGGCCAGAGCTGTGACCAGTGTGGTGGCTGTGGCCAGGAATGAGGCTTTTCCCAATCTCTTCAGTATTCTTTTGGGTCTCCCTGCAGATATTCCAGTTCTATTGCACCTATTCCTGCTGCACTCCTGTGCAGGTTTTGTCCACTTATTTTCCTTCCTACAGCAAGCCTGGTTTGCCTCTTTGAATGGCTCACAAGATTCTTTGCTGTCTCTCAGGAGACTTCTAACACACTGTTTAAAAGGTGATTTCAGGCCACAGGAAGCACCAGTGCTCACAGTGCAGCCCCCTCCAAGTGGTTAGCAGGCCCAGTCAGCAGCTTCCTTCCCACTTAGGTCCTCAGGTTACAATGAGGATTCCATCACAAATGTGTTCATTTGTGTCTTAGTGCTCAGGGTGAGGGCGGGGGTAGGGGGTGAGGCGGGGTACAAGACAGAGTGTGGGGATGAGGCTGGGGGGTAGATGGTGGGGAGTAGTAGGGTGCGGCGGCACAGGGTTAAGGGGTGGCGGGTATAGAGGATGGCTTCCAATAACCATAAACTTATGAGGACCCCAGGCCACAACCAACCTTTCTCCTACCGGATAGATCAACTTGCACACTGAGGAAGGGAAAATCTGAAGGCCAAGGTATTCTTTTGGTGACATTTCTGGACCCTCCCCTGTGCCCGGCATCTTGTTCACTTGAGGGTTCTCATCCCTCTTGATCCTGCCTATCTGCCCAAGAGTAACTCTCATTTTTCCATATGCTCGTGTCCCCTTCCCAGCATCTCTTCTCACCTCCACTCTCATGTCTTTGCCCTCCTCTCTCCCTGTTACTTCCTGTTTTCAGTTGTTTCTGGATTTGCTTCTAGAGTGCCCTCCCCCTCTCCCTCCACACCCTTCCTGTCCCTGCTCAGTGGCCATTTCAGACAAGAACTCTCCATGCCTCCCTCCTTTTTCTCCTCCTAACTTTCTGGTGGTACCTTTGCCCAGCAGGTCCCTCTCCATCTCCATTTAGTTTAGTGTTTTGCTGCCCTGACTTTCCTCAGGGATGCCCTGCACGAAGTCCTACTGTTAGAACAGGGGAGTTCTGAACTGATTGTGGCCCTAAGAACCCTGTGAAGCATCTAGTCCACAGACTGCCTCCCACCCCCACCCCTGTAGGGAAGTGTCTGCTCCTGGCTTTCTCTTCCCACAGGATTTGATCCGCTCGACTTGTTCCAAGCCTAAAGGCTTCATTCCAAACCTAATCATTTATGACCTTATTTCTTCACCTCTAAGATGCTGGACACCCTTCTTTCTTTGTCTCTCAGCACCTGCGCTTCCGTCTCTGGGACCTGCCATCTTTCTCTGCAGCCAGACAAAGAAGTCACACCTCCTCCTCTGGGTGCATTGCAATCACGAACAGAGGTCCTCATCTGCCTCTTCCCCTGATCTCACTGTACAGACTCAATTTCATCCCGGTCCCATGCTCTGGGGCTCTGGTGACCTAGTGTTAAGAAGCTATGCAGTAATCCCAAAAACTGATGCGAATCCACCAGCTGCTCCACAGGGGAAAAATGGCAGTCTCCTCCCTTGTGATTGACTCTATTTTTCATAGGCAGAAAACTTGCTGGAGGGTCATACAACCACCACCACCTTTCTCTTCACTAGCTCTGACACCTCATCACCATCTCCCTTCCCCCTTTTCCTCTTCTACCTCCCTCTCTCTCCCAGGCCCTACATTGCTTTTGGTCCAACTCCTTGGCCTTCACTCTCCTACTTTGCTTTCCTAATCCCACTGGTCTCTCTATGCCTCATATTACTGACCCAAATCCTCAGTTTTCATCAAATTGGTTCTAGGCTTTCTTCATAGGGCGTTCTGGTGTCATCTGGCATTTTATGTTGTGTTGCTAATCAATAGGCTGGTGGCTTGAATCCACTAGCCGCTCCATGAGTGGAAGATGAGAAGGCTCCTCCCTTGGAAACTCAGTGGTACATCGCTATGAATCAGGACCAACTTGATGGTAGTGGGTTTGGGTTTTAGCCTTTCTTCATAATAAGCCTTCTCCTAGAATTTCCCCCTTCTTCTGTGATGGTTTTCTCACCCTAACCATTTGTGAATATGAATTCTCTCCACCTCAACAGGCACATACCTGTGTCATTCTTAGGGAGAGTCAGTATGGGAGAATTAACAATTAAACATTGTTGTTGTGTACTGTGAAGTTGGAACTGACCCAAAGCTGAACTTACTGTGGGTTTTCAGAGGCGGTTAATCACAGGGGAGGAGATTGCCTGTTCTCTTGCGGAGCAACTGGTGGATTTGAACTGCATGCTTTTGGGATTGCAGCGCAGCTTCTTGCCACCAAGCCACCAGTGCTCTCTAATTAAACATTAGATGTGCAGTTATGTCTAGGGTGGAGTTTCATCGATGGTTTCCTCCTCCCCTAGGACTCCACAGTTTTCATTATAACATCAGCATACACATCCAGTATAGATCTGTGCTATCACGATTCTTCATTGAGGAATATGTGGATGGAGAACACTTCTTGCACTATGACAGTGAGAAAGACCAAGCAGAACCCCGTGGTCCATGGGCAGAAGGCTGCCTGAGAAATAAGACCTGGAATACCCAGACCAAAGACTTGAACGACATGGGGAAGACTCTCAGAATGATTGTGGCAGATTTCTTGGAGCTGGACCATCAGAAAAGAGGTGAGACGAGGGAGGGGACAGAGGCGTGTGAGGGCTTCCCTGAAAGGTTTGGGGGTGAGAGCTGGAGACCTGCCTCTTCCCACTGAATTTTGTTGGGATATAGTGATAAGAATGGAATTCTAAGGGAGTTCTGGTAGCCTAGTGGCAAAGAAGTTGCACAGCAATCCCAGAGGTATGCAGTTCAAATCCACCAGATGCTCTGCTGGAGAAGGAGGGACAATCTCCTTCTGTACCAGTCAGATCCGATTTGACGGTACACACACACAAATAATAATAATAATAATAAAAAGAATGGGATTCCAGAAATTCAGCCAGCGTATGGGCTGTTTTTTTTGGGGGGGGGGGAATAGTTTGAGGGCAAAAGGGAAGAGTCTTTTGGGCTAAAGTTTCTCACTCTGGATGAAAGAGGCAGAAGGACCCAAGAGCGAAGAAGTCACTTCTGGGTGGGGGCAGATTTGCATTCCTTCCAGGAGATGCGAGGCTGTGAGATCATGAAAGACAACACCACCAGGGCCTTCCGAGAATTCTATTTTGATGGAGAGCACTTTTTATCCTACAAACCGGGGACTCAGAAATTCATGGTGCTCAGTTCCTCATCCCAGGCCTGGGCTCTGAAAATCAAGGAGTCCTGGGATAAAGATGAGAATAAACACAAGGATTACAATTACCAAGTGAAAGTGGACACTTGTAAAAGGCTGCGGAACCTGGCCTCCTGCAGAGACTTCACAGAGAAAACAGGTACTGACCCTGGAGAAGGGCCCTCATCCCCTTGGGCCCCCCTCATTCTGTGTTACCTGAGGGAACCTTCCCTGTCCTGTGGGATCCATGATGCTTTGTTGGCACTTTGTGTTCTGAGTTGCTTGTTCTATTAAAGGTACTAAGTCAGTAAAGAGACACAGATGGGAAAGCAGTGCGTCCCCAGACAGAACATTGACCTGGGAAGGTGAGTGTTAGCCCCCTTTGTCTGGGAGGGCCTCATAACCATGACCCTGCCCCATCTGGCTGCCAGCCTGCCTCAGCCTGGAGAGATCCTTCTTACCCTCTAGTTGTTTTCCCTCCAGCATCAACATGTGTATACAGAAAAGGATCCTAACCTGAGTCCCCATTTTCCTGCCAGTATTAGGAATTATGATCCCAGGGTCCCAAACACACAGTAAGCAGCATGGAGTCAGAGGGCTGGTGGGTGAATGTGGCCTCAGCCTGAGCAGGAACGTGACAAGGACCACCCCTGTTCTGTCTCACTCAGACTTGGAGGCAAAGCTTGGTCACATGGCTCACTGGTTCTAACCTCTCTCTTTCCAGTGTCCCCAGTGGTGAATGTGAACCACAGTGACATCACGGAGGACAATGTCACCCTGATGTGCTGCACTTCCTGTTTTTATCCCCGGAATATCTCACTGACCTGGCTGCAGGATGGGAACCCTCTGAGCCTGGACTCCCAGTCCCGTGGGTCTGTCCTGCCTCGTGCAAATGGAACCTATGAGACCTGCATGTCCGTAAAGGTTCCCCAAGGAAAGGAACAGATGTACAGCTGCTGCCTTGTGGAACACAATGGGAAGAACAGTACACACCCAGTGGCCGTTGGTGAGCACGGGCAACCCTGGAGGGCTCTGACCCTGGGACTTAGATTTGTTATGTACTATTGAGTTGACTGTCTAGTGGGTTTTCAGAGGCAGTAAATCACAGTGGAGGAGATTGCTCATCTTTTTTCTGGAGATCAGCTAATGGATTCAAGCCAAATGTTTTTTGGGTTGCCAGCACAACTCCTTACCATTCAGTCCCAAATCTCCTCGTTAGGAACTCGTTGTTGTGTACCATAGAGTCGGAACCAACTCGTATCTGACTCCAGTGGGCTTTCAGAGGCAGTAAATCACAGCAGAGGAGAGTGTCAGTCTTTCTCCCCTGGAACAGCTGGTGGATTTGAACTGTGAGCCTTTGAAATTGCAGCGTAACTTCTTACCACCAGGGCTCCTTGTCAGGGACAGGGAGGCGGAAAAAGAAAAGGCTTGAGGGTCAAAAGTCCCTAGAGTATAATTAAGTCCTTTTTTAGGAGGACACTGGATGAAATGGCCTATCATTCTTCTTTGTGTTGCTGTTGTTGTTGGTTTGGCTGCCTTTGCACTTTATGACGTTTGGTGTTACAAGAAGAAAGAAGCACATACGGAAATCTCAGGTGAGAAAACTGCAGCATGGATGGGAGGAGGAGGGTCTTTGCCAGGATGGAATGTTCTCTCCTCCGTGGCTCTTGGATAAAGGTGGAAAGTGAGTGTGTCCTGTCTCAGTAGGGGCATTTGTCAGGAACAGGTGACAGGCATGTGCTGACTTTTCCTTTATATTATTTTATTGATATCTTAATGAAAGATTATGGAGAACTTGGTTTTTCATTCATTCATTCATTCATTCATTCATTCATTCATTCTTGCACATTTCCTCCTTGCTCACTCCCCCCCTCCCCGCCATGTGCTGACTTTTCAAAAAGTCCTCCTTAAATTTTCATGTTCAAAAGTACTTTGTGTGCATATACTCAGGTTAATTAGAATCCCAGTGGATTAGTGAAACATTCAACAACAAGGGAGGCCTGAGTGCAGCCTGGTGAGTGTACAGGGTAAGAGGAGATGGGGTCTCCATGAGCAAGGATAGCCCCTGGGTCACGACAGACTCGGACTCTGTGGTGGCCGTGTTTTCTTAGATGGGCCATTGGTCATCCTGAATCTTCCAGCTAGGGTCTGCTGGCTCAGGGTGTGGTGGGTGGGGCTGGAAAGGCACAGAGCTGTGTATGGAGGTTGGTGCTTGGAGTCGAATCAGGCCACTTCCGTGTATGTCTGAGCATCTACAGGTGAGGAAGATGAAGGATTCAGGGAGAAAAGGAACTACATGTCACCAACATCCAGGACTAGGAGAACGTGGAGTAGGCGCCTCATTTTTGGAAGTCCTTTCACTCTGTTAGGGCTCAGTTAGAGGGAAGATACTGAGATTCTGCCCTTGGGTCTCATCCTTGAGTCCTGCCATCTTTTCCCTTGCATCGTGGGGAAACAAGCAGGAACAAGTGACAATATAGATATAGTACTGAGAGGAAGACTAGCAAGGTCTGGGAAAGTGGGGTGGGAGGCAGAAAAAAGTGGAGATGAAGACAAGGTAAATCCATTTTAGGGGAGTAGAAAAGAGGCTATAAGGGATTAGAACCCAATTTCCTGCAGATCTTGAATGCCCCTGATTTTTCTGGATGGTTTTCTATGTTCCATTTGTCTCCAGAGTCGATGAAGCTACCACACCTGAATGGCCAGCAGAGGGAGCAAGCAGAGCACAATGGTGCAGCTGGTCTCTCCATCTCTGCTCTCAGCTCAGTGTGCTGAGTCATCTGGGTAAGCTAAGGCCTGGCCATTTTAACTCATGGTGAATCCATGCATCATGCAGAATAGAGCTTTTCTCTATTCTGTTTTCCCTCTGTGGTTTTCAAGGGAAACCATCCCTTTCCCTCCCTCCTTCCCTCCCTTCTTCCTTTTGCTCCTTTTCTTTCCTTCCTTCCTCCCTCCCTCCCTCCTTTCTTCCTTCTCTCCTTCTTTCCTTTTTTCTTTCTTTCTTTCCTCCTTTCTTTCTTAGAAGGGACTTTCTTGCCGCAGTTGTGGCAGAACGCCAATACAGAGGCTTTCTGTTTTGTCAGGTCCCTTTATTTTTTTAAAAAAGAGAGGCTATAAAATAGAAGACTTACTTTAATGTTCTTTCAACACAAACATAGAGCACCAGTTTGTGACACTGTATTTGAAACAGACTACCATGCACTGTTTAGCGCATTTTTGGTCCACAGATTCTCATACTCACAGCTCCCTCTCCTTAGCTTATTGCTAGCTGACCTGGACTCTAAGGTCTCTAACTTCCTATCACACTCATGTGTCCATACTGGGTCTATGAAATTTTTAAAAAAAATATTGTTAAATGTTCTTTTCTTTTATTGTAATTTCAGTGAAAATTTATAAACTAGGTTGGGTTTTCATACAATTATTACTGTATGTTTTGTTTTATAACATTAACTAATAGCACCATGAAGCCAAAGCAGAGGGAAGAATCCAAGATATTAAAGAGCTGAACAGAAGATTTCAAAAGGCAGCATGGAAAGACAGAGTAAAATATTACAATGAAATGTGCAAGAAGCTGGAATCAGAAAATCAAAAGGGCCAAACTTGCTCAGCATTGCTTAAGCTCAAGGAACTGAAGAACAAATTCAAAGCTTGAGTTGCTATACTTAAGGATGCTTTGGGAAGAATATTAAACAATACAGGAATTATTAAAAGAAGAGGGAAAGAGTATACAGAGTCACTGTAGCAAAAGGAATTGGCAGACACAGAAGAATTTCATGAAATAACATATGAGCAAGAGCCCATGGTGATGAAGGAAGAAGTTTACACTGCTTTGAAGGAATTGGCAAAAAATAAGGCCCCAGGAATTGATGATATACCAATTAATGTATTTCAACTAACAGATTCTGCCACAGATATGCTCACCAAGTTGTGCCAAGAAATCTGGAGGACAACCACCTAGCCAACTCACTAGAAGAGATCTATATTTGTTCCCATTCCAAAGAAAGGTGACCCAACAGAGTGTGGAAATTATTGAACAATATCATCCATATCACATGCAAGCAAGATTCTGCTGAAGATTATCCAAAAATGATTGGAACAGCACATCAGCAGAGAACTGCCAGAAGTCCAGGCTGGGTTTAGATAGGGCCGTGGTAGTAGAAATATTGTAGCTAATGTTAGATGAATCTTGGCTGAAAGCAGGGAATACCAGAGGAATGTTTATTTGTGTTTCATTGATTATGCAAAGGTGCGTGACTGTGTGGATCACAACAAATTGTGTCTGACTCTGAAAAGAATGGGAATCCCAGAACACTTAATTGTACTAAAGTGAAACCTATACTTGGACAAAAAGGTCATTGTCAGAACAGAGCAAGAAAACACTGCATGGTTCAAAATTGGGAAGGGTGTACGCCAGGGATGAGTCCTATATCCATACCTTTTCAACCTATATACAGAACAGATTATGCGGGAGTTTGGGCTCTATGAGGAGAAATGTGGCATCAGGATTGGTGGAAGATCCATCAACAATCTGTGTTATGCAGATGACACAACTCGCTTGCTGAACTAAGGAGGACCTAAAGCGCTTGCTGCAGAAGGTCAAGGACTGCAGCCTTCAATATGGATTGAGGCTCAATATCAAGAAGACAAAGATTCTCACCACTGGGCCAATTGGCAGCATCAGGATGGGTGGTGAGGAGACTGAGATTGTTCACAGCTTTAGTTTGCTTGGCTCCACTGTCAACACTCTTGGCACCAGCAGCCAGGAAATTAAAAGACGTATTGCCATGGGAAAGCCTGCAGTTAGGGCTTCTCCAGAGTACTGAAGAGCTATGGTGTCACTCTGGAGACTAAAGTGCACCTGATACAGGCCATGGTATTTGCAATCACTTGTTATGCATCAGAGAGCAGGACAATGACTAGGGAAGATAGAAGATTTGATGCCTTTGAGCTGTGGTGCTGGAGAAGAGTATTGAATATATCATGGACTGCTAAGAAAAGGTTAAACCAGGCTGCTCCTTGGAGGCAAGGATTCTGAGGCTTTGTCTGACATACTTTGGACATGTTGCAAGGAGGAACCAGTCCTTGGAGAAGGATGTCATGCTTGGGAGGGTGGAGGGACAGCACAGGAGAGGAAGGCCCTCTATGAGGTGGATTGATTCAATGACTGGGGTAATCGGAATGGGTGTGTCTGAGACAGTGAGATTGGCACAGGATAGAGCAGGGTTTAGGGCTGTTGTACATAGGGTCACTGTGAGTCACAGGTGACTCGATGGCACATAACAACAACAACAACAATGGCTGATCCTCCAGTAGATTTTCAGAGTTTATAAACTGCCTGAGTAGAGTTTGCCTATCTTTCTCCCTCCGAGCAGCCAGTGGATTCAATCAGCCTGCTTTGGAGTTGACAGCACAACTCCTTACCTCCTAGGTAACAAGAGTTCCCTCTTATCACAACTGTTACAGTTTAATTAGATTAATTAATTAACTAATTAAACTAGTTAATTAATTAGTGTCTGATCATGCTCTTATTGTTGTTGTTTCCCCCCTCCCCTTTTATGACTGTACAAAAACTTTTCTTAATTTGCACTGGGAGTTGGGCCTCTCACTAATAGCAAACCTCAGAGTTTATAAGAGGCTCACAGGCCATTTATTTGTGGTACATGTGGTTTGTGAACCTCAAGAGCTGGCTGTATAGGAGAGAGACTCAAATCCCAACTTAACAAGGAAGTGCTCCTGTGGCAAGAACCCTCTCCTTTTGAAGTTGAAGTCTGAGAGGACCAACAGGCCACACAACCACATCACAGGCTTTCTCTGTTAGTTCAATCCCTGATCTTCAGTCTGTGATGTAGCACAGACTGTAGGAAAGAACCAATATGGTTTTTTTTATTTTTCCAAATTTGACAGATATATCTCCCAACAGACCAAGGAAATCACAGAGAATGCTGGCATGTTTCTAAAAAGACTCCAAAGCCCCAAATTTAAGAAACAAGCACAAAATAGGCAGTTTGGTTGGCTCCAACATGAAAACCGAACTAACATACACTCTAAAAGGCACAAGGCAAAAAGGCTTCTCTGATCAACCCTGTGTCCATTCCACCGACTCTTATTACTGAATAAGTATGTGCATTACCCACTTGTCTTTTTGCAAGACAAACTTACTGCGTAAAAATATGCCTTAGCATGTTACAGGTACTTCTTCCACCTCAAAGATACCTACACTTACCCCTTTCCAGTCTTCTACATAATTTAGTATTCAGAATTTTACTGTGTAAACTGTTGTGAAATTAGTATTTAACACGAATACCTTACAAAACAATTTGGAAATATTATTTTGAGGGTGTTGTTTCCAAACAGTGAGTGATGCCTGAGGCCTGTGAAGAAGGCCCCAATGTATTTATCACTGATTTCTCTCCTAACAGGCTGCTGCTGGCCCTGCACCTGGCTGGGCTGCTTCAACAGCAGGAACATGGACCAGAATTTGGTTGCCCTCTGACCTGGCCGTTTCTGCCATTCAGCGTGTCAAAATCAGCCTGACCATCTACATCATCTACTTGAATGAGAAATGGACTGTAAAAGGCTCTCAGGGAAAATTATCCTTCTGGGTATCTCTAAAGCACAAAGCTGAAAGGTAAGCTCCTCATCAGGTTTAGTGTAGGGAACACTGTGTTTGAGTGGGAAACTTGTATCCTTTCTCCTACAGATGTCTTTTCTTCCCTTTTAATTCAACAGTTACTGAATGACTCAGGCCCAGCCAAACAAGAAGGTTGTTATGTGTGATCTAATAGAGGCCTTACCTCCCGTGAAATGCACATCTGCAACACTGAGCTTTTTTAGGGCACCTTCAAACATCAGAGCCCCAGATTGGTTCTGATAAAGTGTAAGCAATACATTTTTTGTAGTATGTGCCAATGAGTTTTCAGATTAATGAGGCTGGACTTTTGAGCAGGAGGTGAGTGGGAGTCCCAGCCACACCTTAGGACCACCTATAGACTCCTCAGGGACTCACTGGCAGTGCTGTCACTGTAAAGCCAGAGGGTTGTGGGTGCTTCTGAGAATGTTACTTTTGGCAGCCTCAGCCATTAGTGACATTCTTTAGACTGGGTGTTATGCCAAGGAGAGGGTGCTCAAAAAAGGAAGTGGAACTGGGCTGAAGGCCAGTGGCTTCACTGAGAGCAGGGATTCGACATCTGCTCACATAGGCCCCTATCTGAGCTGCACAGAAATCTTTGGCCTGAAAGGACACGTGTTGCATTCTCTGATTCCTTTATTGCTAGTGTTGAGATTCTCACCAGTGTATGAGAATTCCAATCTCCTCCCACCTTGCCAGCATTTGTTGATGGAGTGAGATGATATCTCATTGTTGTTTTGATTTAATGGGTAATATGACAACTCATGATTGTTTTGATATGTATCTGGGATAAAAGCTTACTGTTGTTTATGTCTTGGAGAAAGTGCAGCCTGAGTGCTTTTGGTGTGCAAAGATGACAAAGTTTCTCTCACATATGTTGTTCCTTGGAAAAGGACATCATGCTTGGAAAGGTAGAGGGTCAGCAAAAGAGAGGAAGGCCCTCGCTGAGGTGTATTGACACATTGGTGACTGCAGTAATATTTCAAGTGCACCAGAAATGATGAGGATGGCACAGGGTAGGATAAAGTTCAGCTCTGTTGTTCTTAAGTTCATACTTGTCTTGAGGGCACCTGACAACAACAAAACAAAAGCTGATGAGAGAGCTCTGGTTTTATAGTCTAGAGAGAACTGTATTGATGGTCAAAAGCCCTTGCCTCGCCAAAGGTTCAAATCCACCAGCTTTAGGGGAGAAAGCTTGGTGATCTTATGTGATTTATAACCTTAGAAACCTGCTGGTGGGTTAGCAATGAGTTGGTTCTTTCTGTCTTGACAGTAAAGGCTTGACGTGATTAGCTTATGATAGAGGTCTGGTGGGCTGCTTCATAGTGTGTTGTGGTGCTGTCCTAAAGGCAGCACCTGTGTGAGGTTCAAATTCACCAGCAGCTCCTCAGAATAAAGATGGACAATCTCCTCCCAGAAACCTACTGGAGGGTCATCTATGAGTTGGTTCCACCACAAAGGCATTGAGTTTTAAGTTTTAATAGCTAATAATATTAAGTATTTCTTAGAAATGTATATTTGTTGGCCATCTGAATATTTTTTGGTGAAGTGTGTTTATGTCACCTAAAAATTATGTAATCGGATTCGTTCGGTTTTTTGAGGGGCTAGAGTTTTTAAGAAATCTTAAAGATTACTCTGTTGTCTGGTATGTCATTGCTAAATGTTGTTTTCCAGTCTGTGATTTTTTCTTTACCCTTTCAGAGAAGCCTTTTTTAAACCCCTAGGATCCAATTCTTAGAAAATTCCAATAGTCTAAATTTATCACATGCCAATTGTGTGTTTTTGTTTGTATTTGACAGTTTATTTATGCCTACATTTACTCTGACTTTTTTTTTTAAGTTATGGGACTTTATGCAAATAAATACTTGATTTCAAAGAAACATTTAATGTAAAAACAAATACTCACTTGAACAGAATTATTTTTTTCTTCTATAATTATATTTTATTAACAGAATTATTTTTTTAACATCATTTGTTCCTTTCAAATGATTTGTCATCTTACATTTCTTCCGAATCTCATATCAAGGGTACAAAAGAAAACGAGAATGGGCGAGCTCTGGTGGCCTAGTGGCAAGAAGCTGCACTGTAATCTCAGAGGTGAGCGTTTCGAATCCACCAGATGCTCTGCTGGAGAAGGAGGAACAATCTCCTCCTGTACCAGTCAGATCTGATTTGATGGTACACACACAAAATAATGAAATTTAAAAAAATTTTAAAAAAAGAGAATGGGCAGTCTCCCCTGTGCAATTAACTGTCTCTGAAAACCCACCCGAGGGCCAGTGATGGGTCATTTCTGAGTCTAGGGTGCACAACATCAACTAGAAACAAAGGATTGTTTTCAGCTTTTGTAAGATATAAGTTGACTCAACAAAAGTAATCTTATCACTATTTGGCGGGGGGGAAGAGAATCACCAAAGTTTTGTGCAAATCATGTTGGCCTCCTTTTACATACTAAGAGCATAACTGCTTAAGAAATGACATAACAAATGATTTCACATCTATGTCTCTCCTAAGATAATGCATTTTTTAATTACATTATGTGCACCGCTTTAGCATATTAAAGCCCAAAAGAAAAGCTTGAGGTCCACTATCCAGAGGCATAATCAGAATTTACCCATTTATTGAACTTATGAAATCAAGGAGTCTGTAATGAAAACTATAGTTTCCCTGTTCTCTTTATTTATTTCCCACACTATAAAAACATTTTAGTGTAGTGTCTGTATAGTGCATGAGACAGGACAGTAAGACACTCATCAGGACAGGCTGTGACGAATATGGCAAAACAAGTGAAAAATGCTTATTAAAGTGATGCAAAGGAGGCATGGCTGGTGAAAGATAAGAGATAGGCTGTGTAAAGGAGTTAAAGACAAAAGGAAAGAAGAAAGGGGGGAAACAACCCAGCAATTCCACTACTGGGAATATACTCTGAAGAGACCATAGCTGACATCCAAGCAGATATATGCAC